ATTATAATTCTGTTAATTGTTCTTTATCAAAGTTTAATCAGTTTGAACTTTGTGTGTCAACTTCTCGGGGGATATCTATCCATCATGGTTTAATCGTGCGTGACCACGAGTACGTACACGCTGTTACTAACTTGTTTCCACATGCATGCATGCACATATGTTTAAAGATGGTCAAGGATGGTCATTAGTGTATTGCCACATACGTCCGCTATTATTAAAGTAATGTATTAAGCGTATTCGCATAAAATTTTTTTACATTAGGTATGCTGAAACATTTTTGCAATTCTCTTTTTAACTTTCTATTCGTTTCTCTAAATGAAGTGTTGTATGCACCAAATATTTTTCATGTCCTTAAACCTTAAGCTGTTCTATCCCTAATCTAATCAGTAGCTAGTCACCAAATTCTACATTACTCATTCCGGACTTGTCATCCTTCAACTTTCCCTGATTTTCCTTTGCATCCAAAGTTCATTTTCCAAATAGCCCTACCCTCTCGTCGTTAGTAATCAGTCTGATTGTTAGTCTCGTCTCGTACTCAGTCTGATTGTTAGTCTCAGTTCCGTCACATACACTTCGTTTGTATAACTTTAGAATTAAGCTCTGTTTTCCATGTAACGTCGATCTTTAATTGTAAATCATTGAGCATTACCCCAAATCCAGCATTCAATTTTGAGAAGTTGAATTAAACCAGGCATCACAGTAGCTTTATTATTTTCATAATTTCATTTCGTGATCTTGCACGTAATCTGCGTTTACCATTTCCAGCAGCTGCGTGTGAACTCTCGAGTAATTACTCGTGGCACACGTGTGTGCAAGCGTTTGCCGTGACATATTTATGCAACAGTTTATTTCTACACATTGTTACAATTGAAACATAAATACAAATCGTGTAACAATAACATGAAAACATTAATAAAAAATGAATTAATCAATTTCAATTATATAATGAATACTAAGTAAAATATATTCGCCTACACATTTTCTTACTGATCTCCATTCAAAATATATGCAGTCTGAACAATAAATTTAGGAATAAAAAAGAAATAATACATAGATAGTTATAGAGGAAGATAATTCCTTGCTTCATCGGTGAAAGAGATTACTCGAACGATTCGGTCCCGCACTCAATTCTTTCGACCCTTCGGCCAAATGTCACACAGATCTCGACCCAGTTACGTAATTCACTCCGTGGCGCATTCCATGAAATCTTTCGCATATACGCCGGTCGTAGGTGGGAAGGGAATTATCGGATCGCAGGTATTCGATATTAATTGCTGGAATTATTGATTGATCGTCCCGAAATAGACGGACAATGATGCAACACAGAGATTTAGGTATGGACTCACCGGATCGTCGGAATTTGTTGTTGTCGAATAGCAGGCGCAGTCCTCGCAAACTTTGTGTTGACACTCGCAGCAAATTCTGGAAGCTTCGTCTGCCGTGAACGATTTCCGGCACACTCTGCAATCGTCCCCGGTTTTCGTCTTCCTGAAACGACCGAGTTAAGAGTCCCTTAAGTTTCCAACCTCAGTGGATCAGATGGATCGCTTCTATTCAAATACGCCAGTCAAAAGCTATTTGGTTGGTCCGTACGGACTCGTCGTTTGTATCTGAAGTTTGCATTTTCCAACCGAAGAGCACCTATCCAACAGGAACTCTCATCTATTATTATGAGTCCAAATGAAGATGGAATATCTTGGAGTCAGTCTTTCTATCTTTCCAGACAGTTTAACTAATTGTAAGTTCAAATATACAAACTTATAATATATCTGTTCGAGTGAAAAAAATATTACAAGTTTTATATGTCTGCTTTTTGCTATATTAAATATTTAATTACTTTAAATTATAAAGTATCAAAAATTTCTGTACTTATGCATACGTGCTTTTGATTGCTACGATTTTGCCAGCACTTACACAGTCTTATTTATTATTTCTGTCGTCGTCTCTTCTTTGGGTTGAGTTTCTTCAACTGGAGTGACTTTAGCCGGGCCAAATTTTGTGACTGTAAAAACAGATAAAAAAGAAGCAGATAAATACACATACAATCAGTATAAATGTTGAATCAACAATCATCAGACAATAAACATTGATCAAAATATTCTTTCCTATTTACATATTGCATTTCTCAAAAATCAGGAATATTGTTAAGAATTAAATTACTGATGCTGTTAAAAGAAGTCACAGAGGTGTCAAAAGGTTTAGAATAATGAAATTAATTAATCAGGAAGGAGCGATCGAATTTAATTAAGAATAAACACTCGTCGATGAGCCCCTCAGTTTAAAATCTTCATTAAACAAATTACATATAAATACATATATGAAATGTAATAAAGACACGATCTAAAATTGAATTAAATGAAGTGCAACGGCATTTGAGCCACGTAGAAGAGATCCGATATTTACGCCGTTTAATGCTCCTTTGTTTGAAATTTTAATCAAATTGTACGCGTTTATAAAATCCAAAGGGAAAACATAACAAACAAGTTATATGAAAATTTGCTTTGTGAGATTACTGATGAAAATTCATCGTAGCTGCCAATTCCGATGAAGTAATTTGCAAATTTCCGCGCTGGGAGGAACTGAACTCGCCGATAAGGTTGGGACTAGAGTCGTATTTGTATTTGTAAGCAAACTGAGTATTCGACTAAATAGTCTTATTTTCTTTAACGCTCAATTATATGCGCAATTCGAATATTCTCGATCCTCACTTGTTAGATAATTAATAATATCTAATAAAATCGTATCAAACATTAGATATTTTTCATTTCTCTACATATTGCTATGCACCGTCTTTCTTTAAACTTCCCATAAATGCATAAAAAACCGGAGTCTACTTATTTCAAATCAAACGTGTGAAACGTTGGACGATGAGATCAAAAATGCTTCTCTTAAAAAGATCCCACAATCGCTGAATGTAAATGTGTTTATAAAGAATTTCATATGAAGTAACAGAATATATTTTTATCATAGTAATCTGAGTGAGACATTTAAGAAAGTTAAATAACAGCGTTATCATAATTTTGTTCGCGTTATCAAGTTCGTCAGGTGGAATGGAACTCTCCCGAGGTCCCCGGAAGGCAACATTAATTTACTAAATTCCTGTTCACCCCTGTTTTCGTTAGTAGAAAGCTCGCTCCCTAAAAAAGAATACCGCGCCCTCCTTAATGTCTTTATCCGCGAATTATTTAACGAGTAGCAGTTAGCTAAGCTCTCGGGCCAATATAGAAGCTTAAACTCGTTATTGCCGACGTTCGAGGCACTCGACAACATAAAAGGGCGTGGCTGAAGAAAACGATCAAGTCGAAACCAGCGACAACGCGGCGTGCGTTCTTGTAAATCTTTAAACCGATGGGAAGTAGTTGTAGATTTCGTAATTACTGCTGTCGGCGCAGTTCTCTAGCGTACCTGCTTGTTAAAAAGTTGGCCGACGGGAAAAAGCTGACGAGATTTGTTCCTCCTGACGAGGACGACGAGGACGACGAGAAGGGCACCGTTTGAGAAATGTTTTCGGTTACGTTATCCAATTAACCTAATTGCGCCTTGCGGAGATTAGAATATGAAGTACTGATTGTGAGAACGCGCGAAAGTAAGTACAAAGGCACGAAGGCGCGGCGTGCTGTGTTCTTCTGTGAATGCGTCCCGAGGGAACGCCGTCGGTGCATAGGATTAGATGACGCGCGACGGTATCGGCACGCTGTTTTTAGAATATTATTCTCAGTTAGAGGCCCGTCCGCAATGCTTTTGTGTTTAATGTAACGAGAGGAATTTAATATCGTGAGTAATTCTGACTAACAATTAAGCATCCGTTCTATAAAATAAATATGTACTATTGGCAGCGCTAGGACGATGTCTATTAATTATATTTAATGTGCGACAGGATATTTGATGCGATGATTATTTTCTGTCAAATCAACGAAACGGGCATACTAATTACACGCAATAGTATTATAATAATACACACGCAGATATTCGTGAAATCCCTTCAGGGCGATTTAATCACACTATCGAACACGCAATCAATTCCGTGTAAGCATGATTTCGAACACGATTAATTACACGCACCACCGATTCGGCCTATTGAATCTAATCAAATATCGGGTACATTGTAATATTATATGAGCATTTCCCGAGCTACACACTATCCATCAAATCCTTGGATTCGATTAACCAGTCTACGTTATATTTGTTACATACGCGTCCCTAACGTGTCCAAAACGTGCGAGGCTAGTCACGTACATGTCCCTTGCGAGGGTATGTCACGAGCTGAGACGAGCGTGGACACCTCTGGAAAATGCTGAAATATGAAGTTCCCCTCCACAGAGGAAAGAGCTGTTTTGGGTGTAAAAGGACGCTAAACCTTCTTAGCCCTTTGGATTAATCTTGACCATGACGTAATCTTTTTGAAACTTTTACCACTAATGATCCTCATAAAAAGCTACAATTTTAAACTGTAGTACATACAGCTAGTCACGCTATTTAACATCCCAGTATTTGACAAATTGGCTGTATCAGTAAAAGCGGATATAAAATCTCATTTTGGAAAGAAAAACCATCTGGATTAGACTTGACGAAAATATCCGACACCTCTGTTTCACCCCGTTGTGAGGAAACGAGTGAGTGTCTATATAAACTTAGCCTCGTGAAGCGAAGAAGGAATTCTCTTACTTAAGAATACACCAGTATATATTAATTGTATCCCGAATTCATATAGAATATAGACTCCTGTTCAAAGAATTCGTATAGATTCATTTCTTGCTATTCTTAATTGTTATTAAAAATACAAACGACTCGCCTTTACATCTCAAGACGTATTTATGACAATAGCCCGCAAATCCGACAACATTCTATCCCTGAGATGATCCTCCCTGGATCGTCCACATCCTGTAGTTACGGAGTTAACTCCTTGGGCCGTCTGCGCGTCATTTACCTAGTTCCTCAATTACCTAGTGGCGAAAGGGACTGACCCTCCCTAGAACATCCACATTCAGCAGGTACTAAAGTAACTCCTTCGGCCGTCTGCTCGTCTAACACCTTTCGAACCCTACCTAGGACTGAGTCAATTCCGGTTTATCCAATTACCTAACAGCAATAAAAGACTGATTCTTCAGTAGCTACCGAGGCAACTCCTCAGCCCATCTGCGTATCTTTTGCCCATCTTTTAGTAACAAGTAGTCCAGTATTCTACTTGGTCACCGTCGAGACTTTTTCACGCAGTTACCTCGTAACGTATTCTATGAAAAGATAGGTACCTCGCTTGAAGGTTTCTAGTTACTGTACTCAGACGAATGATAAATATTCATTCTACATACACATTCCTCAATTTGAATTTCACTTTAAAGATTGAACCGATTCGGAAAGATTTATTCATTTTATTCAATCGATCGAACTTTGCGGTCGTTGAAGATGGTTGTTCAAACAGCGCGGAACAAGCTGGATTACCAAAGGATAGGAGAGATTCGTAGGAAAAGTAGAATGCAAATCCTCGCGGGAAAGCCGACCCGGGATTCCGTCGCCGTTCCTTTATCGTAGTCGTTTTACCGCGGCGAAAATTCGCAATGTCGTCGTCATCGCAGAGAGCGAAGGAGGACGACCGAGGGTGTCTAGCAATTTAAGCCGAGCGCCGCGTGAACAATCGTTTAATTAACCTAAAAGACGTCCGACCTAAGCTGCCCTAACGTTCGTCCTCCTCCTTATTTTTTAGGCGAAGTAAAATTTATCGGCGAGCTTAACTGGCTCGACTCCATTTCACGTTCCATCGCTCTCTTTACTTCCCTCACTACGCCCCGTCGCTTTGCGTTACCTCGTCTCGTCGTTTCAAACGTCCCACTTTTCACGTGCATGTCTTTGAAATTTTATAAAACGCCGCGACCGTACTTCCCGTTTTGGCATTTAATCGGTGAGCAAAAAGAGTACAAAGCAACAACAGAACAAACGAAGTACTTGCAATTTAATGGATTTTCAAATTTGATTGACGGACAAAGGTTCAACAAAAACATCCAATTTCTGCATTTTTCGTTTCCGAGATAATTGAATTTGATTTTCGATAAGCAAGCGTACGGTTTAACCATGTATTGAGATATACAAATGGCGAAGGAAAGAAAAGAAGTCGTCATGTCTATTTGACACTCAATTTACCAACCAAGATAGGGTAAAAGAAGGATAATCTGGATGATGCTGAAGAGTCGACCTTTGCCAGACCACTCTGGCAGTTAGTGAATCCTTGGATGTTCTAGCTCTTTGACGCCAGCTTTTAATAGTTTTCAATTACTTTGCTGTCTTAGTATCTCCTCTGTCATCAGAGTGATCTTAAAATAAATCCCTTTTCTAGTCGCATGGAGTTATTCTGAAAATAGCTATCAATAAAGTAATATTTTATAGCAAAATAATTTAATTAACAAAATTAATCACTGTATTTAATTTTAAGTGAAATAATTCTTATTCGTTGAATACTCCTTGATTTATTAAAATTAATTACATGCCATAGTAGGTTATTTTAGTGACCCTCTAGGGAAATACTGCATGAAAATGTACATACCTACATCGGAAGTTGCATATGTATTTAAAATACGAAATGTCAAAAGTAATAGGAGGACGTGAACTATGTTCGCTGTCAATACGTCAGTGAAGGAAAAATTGACATTTCGAAAGTTCTTCTTAGGAATAAAAATGTCAATAATAATAGAATAATGTTGCATTATTTATTATAAATATTTATTCAGCGTGTTTTGCATAATGATCGAATCCTGACATCAAACTAATCAGAAATCATCACTGAGGTGTCCAGTTACTCCCTGTAGGGTCATTTGGTCATTTTATTATTGGAATTTTATTACATAAATAATTAATGTGCTCTTCTCATTATATTTATGCAATGTATAAATAGAAGAAATTTTTTAAATGAATATGGAATGCAAATCAAATTCGGTACGTCTAAATTAACGCGAAAGCCGCTTAAGAACTTTATTATTCGGAAATCGTAAAGTCACTTTATTCCTTTTATAT